GCAGTTCAAATATGAATTATTTCATATATACTTCACATCAACCAACTGGTCTGCCTCTAGCCTGATCGTCAGATGGTCCAGGTTGCTTGCAGCCAGCAACCTGGATCATCTGAGAATTAGGCTAGCCTGCCTCCTGCCATTTGGGATTTTTAAGCCTATTATGTTGTTTGACACGTAATACGATGCACGTAAAGTGGAATCCTGATTTTTTTGAACCTCCAAGGGAAATGAAAATTGGTTCAAAAAATCAGAGATTTTGAGAAATCGGGGGTAAAATTACAGTGTTTGGTTCAAGTTATCGGGAGATTCGAGAAATCGGGATTCCACACAGTTTGATCACCCACAGTTACTTGAATCAACAGCATATCGATCCTCTGCCCCCTGTCCAGTTATGCCATTTAGAGAAAGGAAGAATTTTATGCAGTTTAGTTAAGTAGGGAAACACACATATCATTTCAAGTGAAAGGTGAAGTTTAATTCTTTAGTTTAATGCTTTATTAGCTCGTTTGTTGAGACAGAGTGTTCAGTATAGCCTCACCGTCACTGTGGAATACTCTTCCGAAAAAAATTACCATAATTATTGTAAGCCTATTTGTCAATTTTTAGATAAGTATTTAGTATTTAGTAATAAGTATTTAGTGTAGGCAAATAGACTTCAATGTAGGTGAATCAACTCAGATTGTGTAGGCGAAACGACTTCAATGTAGGCGAATCGCTTTGTAGGCGAAACGACTTTTAGGTGAAACAACCAGTTACCAATAGGCCAGGTTCAACTGTAGTCATTCACATAATGTCCTGTAAACAGTTTTAAGGCAAATGACATTACCAACCAACAAAGTACAGCCCAGTGTCTTTGTCAATAGAGTATATATTGTGTTTACAAGGTGTAAAACTTGTATTTATGACAACCTTGACTGCCTTGGTTGATTTTGAAATTAACTGCGACAAAATTTTCTTTTAACATAGGAATGGGATAACTATATCCAGCGTTTTCACAAGATGTTTCGTCATTCTGAGGATACGGAATTCTATGTTGTGGTTGGAAATCATGACATTGGATTTCACCCTGAGTAAGTATGTAAGATTAGTTATTTTCTGAGGCCCTTGACACCTAAGAGAGCATAGGCCACACAACACTGGATATTTGCTAGGTAATTGTGACTTGTTGGCATTACCCTGTCATTTATATCCTGTTGTGAACCGTTCTTTTCTTTGTCCTCTTCAACATTCTGCTTGGCCATACAGATATATCTTGTAAGCTCCACCTGGTTATTAATCATCTTTTTCGCCCTGTGGGTGTCTTAACTTGATCCCTCCAACAGGTGCAAAGGATCTTAAATTAATAGGCAATGATTTATGAAGATTTGAAGTATTTGTATCACATAAGTTCATCTTGACAGAGGAACTATCATGATGATAGTTCGTCAGAACAGATGATCTGTAGGTTTGCCCATATTTTTACACGAATGATTTATCAGGGAAACTTAACTGTTCTTTGCCCAAGTTCATCTCAGGCGGATGAGTGGCAGGATTTTGTGGTTCTCGTCAAGTAAAACCTTTGCCTCACACTACCAACACTGCTAAAGCCCAGCATCCTTTAATTTGGTGAGATGTATGTGCACACAGAAGTTGTGCTTTAACAAGAGTCTGTTAGTTTAGGTTCATGTATGTTGCATTTTATTGTTAGTGTTATGTTTTTTTTCAGAGCCTCTAGTGACAAGCATCTTTTTAAAAGGTTCTCATCTGTGTTTGACTCTCCCTCAGTTAAACTACTCAGCTTAAGGGGAAATCTGTGAGTTTTTGCTATAAAGTTATATTTTATTTTGTAGTAAGCAATAAAGTGTGACTACATTTAGCTCAGTTGGCACACAATCATATAATATTAAGGCTGTTTACAAGAACTATAAACATCCAATGCCCCTGCCCCGGAAGGAACACTGTATGTTGACACCTTATGACAGCTGTTTAGGACTCTAGAGGCCCTGTAACAAGACTAGTAATATGATTCAGTTCAAGAGCCAGCTATCAAGTGAAAGTACACAATGCATCTGTAAGCATGACAAAGCATGAAGTCCAAAGCAAATGTTAAAGACAATTCCATATTTTCAGACCTGCTAAGTTTCCTGAAAACATCCTCACGATGCTTATTAATTATGATCTTGTTGATTTACTTTAGGTTTGTTCTAGTAAACTCCATAGCCCTGCAGGGTGATGAGTGTTCAATGTGCTCAGAGGCCATGACTCAATTGATGGCTGTGGCTGAAAAATTAAACTGTCACCGAGAGAGAACTAAGAAAGACATCTATGAAGACCTGGCAAAGAAACAGAAGCCATTTTGTGAGCTGCCTAAAGATTCTCCGGCACCTGTACTGATACAGGTAAGCAGTTTTCTGAGTGGCATGTGTAGCAATCAGTAACTGATTTCTCCTCATGTTTTTGAAGAATAATATTAAGGAAGCATTAATTAAATGATTGAATATTAAGGAAATGGTCACCAAAGAGAAGCTAGCGTGATGAATAAGGAGTTATTTTACAATAACTGTAGAAATTCTTGTACACTTATTGGCCAATTTTCATTGTCAATAAGCGGACAGACTCATGAATTTATAATTTATGTGATAATGCATTGCAAAAAACAAATTGACGTCAGTTTTTTATGCATCTTGTCCTGTGGATCCACGGCTACTTTGACAATGTTATGACAAACTCAGACAGATGCATGCATGAAAAACTGATGTCGATTTGTTAACTGGAAGATGTATGAAGGTGTTGAGGAGCTGAGAACCGTGTCCACCATTTGCTGTTGTATGATTGTGGGACACTGGTATTCTTGTTGTGGTGCTAATTGGATGAGGGTGCTAAATTGAATCACTATGGTACGACTAACACTGCCATGCCTTATAATAATTGCCAAAAAGTACTAATTAAAAAAACTGAAACAAAACTGTCAGTGACTCGGTTTTTGATAATAGATAGCGACTGGTTTTTGCTAAATCCTAATTAAAAACAGTGGGACTGCTCACTCATGCTTTTTGTTGAGGTTGACAACATTTACATATCATAGATAAGAAGATTTCATATCTCTCCACAGCATTTTCCTCTGTACCGTCAAACAGAAGCAATCTGTACAGGAGTTGATGCTCCACCTCCCGAGGAAAAGCAATCCAGGAATAGAGAAAAATGGGAAGTAGTATCCAAAGAAATGTCTTACAGACTTCTTTCACTGATTAGGCCCCGACTGGTGTTGAGTGGCCACACCCATCATGGCTGCTATCTGGTGCACAAGGATGGCACCCCAGAAATGACAATTCCATCATTCAGTTGGAGAAACAGGAATAATCCAAGCTTTGTGCTGGTATGTGGATCAAGTAACATTTGTGAAGTTGTATTTAAAACTGTGCAAGATTTGTAGGGTTTATACAGTT